TTTGGAATTCAAAACAAGTGGAAAAGATCTCAGAGGTTTGACTCAGGTCTGGACACTATAAGCACAGGGCAGGGTCAAACCACACCTTAACGTGGATGTATCTGTAAGATGTACAATGAGCAGCTTTATTATTTTTTATTTTGTCTTGGTCGTGCTTTTCTACTGTGTTCTTCAGCTGGGGGGGGCGGGTAGCTTTAGAGATTTTGATGTGCAAAAGTAGCTTTAATTTCCTTGTGGTTGGCATTTTCATTGTAAATACCTTTTTCTAGGAATACTCCTCAGTTGGATATACGTATGTTCATTGAGTTCACTTCGATGGTTCTTTCAAATGTACTGATAGTAAATGTTCTTCATAAATATCCAGAATGTAAGACAAGAGAAGAAAAATATGGCCTGTCTGTAGACGTCTGTGCCACATGTTGTCTTGAGTATAAGCACACTGATATTAGATCTACAGGCAGGATGTAGTGTTTGGAGATGATTTGCCAGACAGCCTTAACCAATTCCTGATTGTGTCTCTCTTAAAAAAGTGAAAATTAGGACAAACTGATGGACATTATGAATTCACTTAATTTGTCTCTCATATTCCTGACAAAGCCCTGCTATTATCCTGGTATTTCTAAATGAAATCTGGACCCAACGCAAGCCATTAATATAAGACCTATACTGCTAATTACAGTATACTTTAAGCTACACAGTCACTTAACTTTAAAAACGTGTTCTTGGAAAAGTGTCTGTCGATGGACACAGCACCTGGAGTCCAGCAGCTGCTTCCTTAGTAACAAAGTGCTTAGCTTGCGGCTGTCAAATGCTAACATTGGATACTTTTTACAAGCAGCAACTTGGCCTTTGATGATGCACTGTCCACAACTTTGTATTCAGCCGTAGCTATTTTCGCTTTTAGGTTACCCAGTTTGATCCAGTGACACCTAGCCTACAGTACGCTGATGTCTGAGTGGCGTCCTATTAGACGGACACGAGTTAAAGGGTCAAATGTTGTGCCACAAAAAATGTAAAATTAAGCTGCATTAGATGTTTAAAAGAGCATTTGTCTGTTTGTTTTATATACTGTAAGTGCTTATTTAACCCACTACCCTCTCACGTTTAGTCTATTTTTACCCATATTTACCTGTTGCACATCACTTTTTCAGGTAAAAAACAAAAACAACTGATTTGTCATCATGATAAGTGGGCAAAAAAGAGAGCAGGGATGTCTGGCTAACATCTCCTGACTTCACTAAACAAATGATGGCTGCTGTCATCGACCATGTTCAAACCGCTCCTGCGTCTGCTCATAGAAACACCATTCAGGAATCTTTTGGTCTTCCGGGGGTTTCCGTATTCACACCAAATGTTTCTGACCAACCACCAGTGATATGGGAGAGAAAAGAAACGTTGTGCATCTCTGGTCTGTCTGTATATTCTGTGTCTACAATAGAGTCAAAGCATTCGGAGGAAGAGCTGAATGATATTTTCAATGGCTCCAGAGGGCCAGTATTAGGAAATGTGTTATTTTTGTTACAATACCTCCTGAAAAATAAAGTCTATTTATCTGTGAAGAGACAAAGATTTACAATAATACAAATGACTAATGTAGAAAGTATGACACCTTTTAAATGATGTAAAACAGATCTAAATGAAAACATGTACAGTTGGATTGATTTTGAACATGATACAGAAAAGTATGAATATTGAATTTGATTTTATATGTTTACCATTTTATTACATTGTAATGTTGTGACTGCGATGGAGGAAAAAAAATATAAAGGAATATAAATTAATTTTTCCAAAGGTGTGTAGCTCCAGTTATTTTTGTCAACTTTATTCATTTTTTAAATCTAATTCCACTACAGAAATTTCTCTACAGACTAGGCAAGAATTGCATAGCAAAGAATGAATTTCTTTCTCAAAACTGGAAGAAAAAACAGTAACTTTAGGGATTTGTCACAATTGTAAACCAAAAGATGTAGCTTACATGCAAACATAAATATGATAGTCATTGAAATTTAACCATCTTGTTGAGACTAGTATGCTTCATTTTACACTGTGCAACAAGCTCCAATTTGCCAAATGGGATTTCTTTATGGCACAAAATTATGCTGTTTTACAGACCAAGGCAGGAAGAGGACTCAAAGAAAAACAATCACTGAAATTATTTCTTCACTTTTGTCCTCCTCAATGTGTTTATTAAATACTTAGAAGTTGCTTTGTGCCCTTTATGGCCAATATGGTCTGAATTTTGACAAGCAGCAACAATAACACAATACTTCCAGAATGATTCCATCATGTTCACCCTGGCCTCAGTTGTTTATGGTTATTAAATTATCAAGGCATCATAGATAGGTGTTTTAAAAATGCTATGCAGATGAAAGAACATGGCAGCATAGAAGTTTTCCTCTTCACTTGTTTCACTTACAATGGGGCAAAGTGACCCTCACACATGGGAACAGATGCATGAACAGTATATACAAATTACTCGATGTGTGGTTAAAGAAGCATGCAAACAGCACTGCATCAAAGGATATGGCTTGCAATATGTAATAGTGTAGCTGCTGTCGACAAATCCCACGAAAAGACCAAAGCCCAGAATGTGTTGCTCTGTCCTTCAGTGCTATATGACTTCACTAACATGTCTGGGGCTCTCAGCCCGAAGCCCACTGGTTTCTACTGAGGACAATAACCCTAACCTTTAAAAATGGGTCAATATAATATACTTTCATTTTTGAAAAGGCAAAGAAAATGATTAAAACAAACAAGCTCTGCAGATTTTAGCAAATACTAATTGAACAGGCGCAAACTATGAATTTGCTAGGGACTGTTTTCAGTGGCGGATTATTACACTACAGCGAGTACTTATCATTTGGATTGACTCAAAATATACTGATACAAAGGAATAAGATATACCAGGCTTTGGATGATCATTCTAACATTTGTTTGGAGGGTTAATTAAATAACTGTTAGCTCTGGTCTTTTCACAAGATTTGTCTATAAAAATAAAAATATAGGATATCTTCAAACTTATACTTTAAACTATTGTCATTGTCAGATACTGTATGTGTGACTAGCAACACTGATCCAGTTTCCGATCCTTTGTAACAGCTATGTGCCCTGTCAAAGTGCCCTTGGGTAGGACACCAAACTTGCGACTGCTCATTGTCTATAAGCATCAAATAAATATGAAAACAACTCAAAAATAATGTCAAGTTTCAGTTTCACCTCAATTTGATCTATTCAGGTATTTGTACTATTTTCAAAACCAGTGTCTTGCTACCTCATCTGATACTAATAATAACCATTATATTGCTTTAATTTTATGATTATAAAGCCCTTTGTAAAAAGTTTTTACAGATGGTGAATACCTCTTTGGGGGATTTGTCATGTAGCTCAATAACTGTATTTGATGTAATTCATATACATACTACAAGTATAAAATGAATAACTGACACAACAACACCTACACTGGCATAGGAATCACCCTCTTGAGTACACCGTTTCACCATCCTGTGGTATTTATGTCGTTATTATGTATTATACAATCATTCAAAAGTGAAATGCGTTAATTTAGATTTTAGATGTCAGTTTTTGGAAAATGGAAGTGATTTTGGGTCAGTAAAACAAAAAACCAAAACAATAACAGTGCACACAGAAGTCTGAGAAATAAAGACAAATGAAAGTTTTCCTGTTTGAGCAGCACAAGATCTCAGTGAGATACAGATTAAATCTACTAGTGAGTGTGAGCTACTCTCTCTCCCTCTGCTGACAAAAAGTAGCACTACAAATGACAAAAAAGTTCACATTCAAAAATATAAAATAGGTCTCTAAGCAAAAGTCTTCCTTTTATCTCTCAGAATAAAATTATTACAGTTTTTCTCTATCGCTTTCATTCATTTCTCACAACAGAATTGAAGTTTGCAGATCTCCAAGTGCATTTCTCAAAACAACACGTACAAACTGCACAACATAGTGGATAACCGGAAAAAGCGCGTCACCTGCTCAAAATGCTTTGTCTATCGTGCAAAAGTGTGTTTTTTCATCAATCATTGTGTCAGAGGCAGCAGAATCCCATGTCATTTCCTCAACAATGTGAACGTGACAGGCAAAATTATTAGTCATGTTGTCAGTAGAACATCATACTCAGTTTTTGTTATTTACTGTAAACTATACTCAACTCAGGTTTTGATGACTAGAAACCACTAAATTACCGTACTGGTGTGTGTCATAATTTACAGTGTCCCTCTGGTAAAAAAAAGAAGTGATTCTTGCAAACCATTGTGCATCAACCAGGTGTTACAGTAATTTACATGGTAAGAATAGATAATTTTCTGAATGATTCCATCTAACCTCATCTAACCAATCACCATCGCCCCACGTTACAGTATCAGGAATGACATTTCTATAGAGATTGTCTAAGAATGTAAGGAGATGCTGTGTGTTGTACGGTCCCATAATAGGAATATGAGCTAGCACACCTTGGTCTGACATAGCAGCACACATAGTGATGTTTCCTCCCCGTTGGCCTGGGACATCAACAGTAGCTCTCTGGCCGATTAGATTTCTACCACGCCTTCTGCCTTTGGCCAGGTTGAAGCCAGCCTCATCCAAGTATATGAAGTTGTGAGGTGGTTCTCTTCGTTAACGAAGGTGAAGACTCACCTGAGAGCAATTTCTCAATTCTGGACATATTTCTTAGCAAACATCTACTCACACTTTGTAGAAATCTGTACAGACATACAATTCTGAGAACATGTTCACTCATTTTGATAGTACAGACTTCCAACCTGAAAAAAAGACTAATTGGTTTGGTGGTTGTGACATTTCAGCTGAGAACCAGGACAAGTTATTTTGCACAGCTGGACAAAAGCAACAAGAATTGTCAAAAACAGCTGACGGATGTACAAAACCATTTGCATGTTGTTCAAAAGCAATTGCAATTTGATGAAAACAACAAGAAATTGCTGATATGATGTGAACAACTGACAACAGAATCTGACGGTTGAACGAGTAGTTCTGAGAAATGCAGTTCTGTTGTGAGAAATGAATTAAAGCGATAGAGAAAAACATCTCCTTTTTTTATTGCCCCCATCTACACCAAACAAATCTTCAACAACTGCTCAAAAAAAAAAAAAAAAAAAAACACAACAAAATCCCACTGGTTTCTTTTCACATGTTCAAGTATTTTGCAGAAGAATTTTTACCAACAGTAACATTATGGAGAGTCAGTGCCATCTGTAGTAGTCACTATTTCCTATAGCTGTTTCTACTCCATGGCATGTCAGTAGGCCTGAAATAGGTCTTTGTACTGCATGTGTATAGAGTACACACATACCAAAGTCAAAGCTGGGGCAGAGATCTCAGTGAGTAAAGTGCAACATGTCAAGTACCTACTGGAGCACAAAGAGGTGACACAGAATAGCGTGTGTGCAGCTCTGACTTGTCTACTCCAACAGGGGGTCATCATCATCGTCGTCGTCGTCAATCTGTAGCCTCTGAAAGGCACGGGGGCCTGAAGACTGCCGGTTTCTTATGAGCATGAAAAGAACTGAAGAGAAAAGAAGTCCTTTGAGTTTGCTGATTGCTACTCTTTTTTTTGAGGAATCCCCCTGGAATCCATCCTGAGCCCCCTTTATATTTTCTAAATGCTACATGTGGGGCATATTACCCATACAATTAACAGATTAATACTGTATATACTGTATACACCTTTGCAATCATTCTGACTTACCAATTGAAGAGAGTATCAGCAGGACAACCACCACCAGGCCGACCATCGCAGAGACCCCCCAGCATGTCTCAGCAGACAACAGGCACCGAGCATAGGTCATGGTGCCATTGTTGGGCTGAGGGGGCACAGCCAGCAGGTGGCACATGAGTGGGTAAATGTCCACGCTCTGTAAACTGCTGATTTGATAACCCTGGCGGAAGCTAGGCCCCACTGCTGCCAGGAAGGGATGCATGCTCGGTAGCGAGTTGTCATAGCCATGATCGCCTACTGAAGGAGGGAAGAAGAGGGAGAGCTGGTGAGTTGTGATGCAGTGAGTTTGTTAATATGAATATGTATTTTCTAGCCTTTTCAGAAAGACTAATTTAACAACTTTTTGTCCATTTTAGTACGTGAATTTTATTTTAAAAAATATAATTTAAAGGAAGAGTCAAACATTTTGGGAGACTTGTTTGTTTTCTGTCAAATCAAATAAGAAGATTTACATAATTTTCATTACTATGTCCCCACTGGGGAGATAGTTTCCATTTGTGTTTAGGCTAGCTTATCACAAAGACCAGACCCAGGTGGAAGCAGTCAGCTGAATTTCATAAAAATTCAAGAAAACTACATCATTCAGCATCTCTGCCATCCAAAATTTTTCCATCCTACAATATCAGATTTCTCCGTTAAAAACATATTTTAAAACTTTGCAAAAAAAAAAAAGCTTATTACTGTATCTGTGGATGGTTGTAAAACTAAGTGGACAGGAGCATTTAGAACCAAATATCACGAGCATTCAAACCACAAACTCCAAACAGGTCATTTTCCTGCTCTGTATCTTAATTTAAAGGCAGAAATACAGTATATGCCATTGATTAGTCATGGTTTGTCACTCTTCTTTTGTCAAACCCCGTGTAGCAGCTACAAAAGAAAAAAAAAGCTGATTTTGTTTTATAGAAAAAACAATAGGGACAATTGAGACGTACATCTTGGCAGCTGGTTCGCTCCCTGCACAATGGTCCAGCCCTCATCAGCAATCAGTATGATTGGCTGGATGCGCTTATTGTTTCTGTAGTGCAGCCTATCAGGGATGGCCTTCTTCAAATATGCTGTCATGTGGTCATGGCACTTCTTCAGCAAGGCAAAGACAGCCTCAGGATCTGGAAATCACACACAGGAAAATGTACTTATGAGAGTAATGCCCTAAAAAAACTTTGTTAGGTACTTATGAGAGTAATGCCCTAAAAAACTTTGTTAAAGATAATCATTTTATTTGGCCAAGTATATTATACACAGAAGGAATATGTCTCCAATACAGAACCGAGGCAGCCATCTACAGCTCCGGCTTACATGGATGGCAGCCCTGTAGGGTGCTGCTCTAACCATCCTGGGGCAACTTGGGGTTCAGACACTTCGACATGTGGACTGCAGGCACTGTGATTTCAACCTTCAACCTTCCATATTTTTGTGTTTATCTGCAGGCTCTTATACCCCATGACAGTTGATGTCAACCTGGTTACCTTTATTAGGAATAAGGGCAGTGACAGGTGAGAGGTCCACCAGGGTGTAATTGTCACGGTGGAGGCAGTCATCCAGCCGTATGAGGCGCTCTGCTGAACACTGAGCCATGCCATGGTCACTGGTTACCAGCACATTGATGTGACCCAAGAGGTCATGCTGCTTCAGCGCCGACATCAGCAGGCCGATGTTATCATCAACCTGATCACATAGAAACAGACAGAGCAGGAGATGTATTGACGCACAACAGTACTAACTTACTGATGTGTAGCAGATAGAATGTTTACCATGTCCTTTAGTTTTGTACAGTACGTTTTTGGTCATGAGCCAAAGTATTAAACAAATAACATTTTTGACCCGATGTGATGATGATGATACATAAAGTCAGGGTACCATGTTTGACTAGTGAACATAGTATAAGCACATTATAAGCAAGAGAAGCTACTGAAAAAAAAAAACATGCATCCACCAAATATAGTGACTTAGATGAATATCGACCACATTTTATGACCAAATAATGCAGAAAACCAGGTAATTCCAAATGGTTCACTTACTTTTTCTCGCCATTGTATATTTTGCTAAAATATTTCTTCATAGACATTTTCAGAGACCTTTTGTGTCAGGATCAAGTGGGCTTCCCTGGGCTTTTAAACTAAATTACTGTACCTCCTTTAGTACTTTGGTCATGGCAGTAGTGTTGTCTGGGCCAAAAATGTGACCCGACTTGTCCGGCTCCTCCCAGTAGAGAGTTGCAAATGTCACTCCTGGCTCCTTATGAAATGACATATATGGAACACAGTGTTAGAAAATGTCTACTAGCCCTTCCAGACTCATTTCATTGCCTTGTGCACCTATATTTTACAACAGTGATGAAGCAAAATGAAAACAGAATCCTTGACAAAAAGTGGTGGAAATACGATGAAATATGTCTGCAAAGAGTTATGTAGGTACAGTAACAGTAAGCTTGCTAAAGTAATTTTTGTACCGTTCCATTTCCCAACATCCAACTGATCACGTCGTCTAGTCGTTCCTGGAACGTCACATTTGAGTTGTAGGGTAAGAAGTGTGTCGCTGTGCGGTTGTTGATTCTCACATCAGAGCCGGGCCACATCATGGCCGCTGTCTTGTAGCCGGAATCCAATGCTGTGAGCCACAGGGGCTGTGCTTCACTCCACCACATGGGGTCAGAGTGATTAACGCCATTAAAATGCTTGTTGCTGACAGGGTCATACATATTACTGGCCAGTATGCCATGAGACTCTGCGTACAGCCCTGTAACCTAGAGAGGAAAACAACAGCAATTGTTATTGTTGTTATTATGACTGTTATAATTTATTGCTCCGCCAATATCTTTTTTTCTTTTTAAGAATATACTATTAGCTACTATCTTATGGGCCTTAATTGGTCCAGTCTCCTGAAATGTACCAAAGCAGTAAGACAACTTTTTCAATTTTACTGATTTACTACATGTGCGGGTCTGCATTATTATCTGTATATACTGTCAGATCATCAACTGACAAACAACACATGCTGCTATCTTTTACACAAATAGCAGGGTTACCAGGCTGTAGTGGTTGGGAAATGTCTTGGTAATGAAGACATTGTTGAGATGCTCCACCAGGACCCCTTGGCTGTACAGCAACGTCAGGTTTGGCATGGGGAACCTCTGCAGGTAATCTG